CTCTCTCTCTCTCGCTGTGTGTTATTGACGAACAGTCTGGAGGTTGTAAGGAGCTGGTTAACCTACTTCCCAGAAAGAAGACACACTTATAATCTCATCTCCATAACGCCAAGACAGCGCTGAATGCAACAGATGCTAAGAGAGAGTTATTAAAGCTCCATATGCTGAGGGAGAGTTAGAAACGCTGCGTATGTCGAGAGAAAGTTCCTAATTTGCCCCCCCGTGAAATTAAAAATGTTTTTATTGAATCGGTTGATGCGCATTTTCTGCCGTTTTTAATCCGGATACAATCAAATGCAAAAGAGTGCGATTAAAAAGCACAATCTGCAGACACATAGTGGGATCAATTTCAGGGGTTTCGCACACAAATACTGTAATAAAAATTATTTTTAAGTATTCGACAGGGACCACAAACAACAAACATTTAAATACTTCAAATCTGTGTAAATATATTTTATTTTAACAATGTGTGCAACTGTAATTACTTGTTAGTTTTGATAATAATTTGTACTAAACTATTTTAATTTATTTGTTTATTTTAAGCAGAAATTCAGTTTCGGGTCTCAGGCCCCAAAACAGCCTCAATGATTCGGGCTCAGAATTCCTTAAGGTTCGGGGCCTCAACCGATAATAAAGAATATCAGTCGTGCATATTTCCTGAAATAATTATACCTTTTAAAAAGTTCAATAAAAGATGTGAATGTAAGATCAATAAACAGCATTTAACTGCTGTAAAAGTTTCCTCTGATGTTTCTCACCAAACATTGAGTGCAACGTCAGAAAGACGCCGTTCAATGCAACTTCAGTGCCGTCTTAGAGTTAATGAGTGTCAACAAAAGATGTGATTTAGTGACGAAGCCTGAATGAAATGTATGTTTTTGTTAATGAATCAGACACTGATGTTGCAGCGCTGTGTTATAACTCTTAATATCGACACTTTCCAATAAAACTTGAACGGCGTCTTACATATGTCAGAAGAGGGTTACATTAATGAAAAAGGTTTTAAATAGCCTAAAAGTAAGCACCAATAACAGGCACATCAGATACTGTAACAACGAGCTGAAACATTTCTGACTCGGGCTCAGCTTCAGTGTTTTACAGTAAACGCAGAGAAGTGTAACAGCGGCGGCGTCTCGGTGGACTCTTCAGCTCCGTGCTGCACTGAAACGCTCCCGTCGCTCATAAACAGAATAAGATTAATTCCCTCCGCAGCCGCAGCGCTGACCCTTCCTCACGCTCTTCTAAACCTGAGCAGCTATTGTTCGCTGCCCTGCATCTGAGCGTCGGCTGCGGGCCCGAGATGGATCAGACATCTTATTGTTTGTTGGCTGTTGGATAAGAACCACAACAGTTGGATTAACTGTCTTCCTGCAAAACTTTGTTGTTTTTACGGCGGCCTGCTGTCCGCGCAGGGTTTACCGTCCGGAGGTTAATGCGGTTCTGTGACCATCATCAGGTCTCATGGTTGGATAATGGATTAATGGTACACCCCTGTGCTGTTACATTACTGAAACATTACTCAAATACAATTAGTATTTAGTGTTAGTATTAGTTCATTTTTTAACTGTTGATGTTTGATGCATCGTAGTAGCAAAGTAGAGTAGATAGAGAAATGCGAACGTAAGTAAATTTACAGGCTTAAAGTGTATCCAAAAGATGACGTAATTACAGTAACATGATTAGTTGTAGTTTATTACTTCCTCGTTATCAGAATGTATTTTAATAAACCAAAATGTGTGTAAATGATCTAAAATATGTGACTTAAATGAACATAAAGACAGAGTTAAATGATATAGGAGCATTCTTAATCACTCATAGAAAGTGTTTAATGCAGATAAATAATAATATTTGGTTAATTGGTTAAATGTCTGGTTTATATTTCACATTTCACAACGACAAGTTGCTGTTTTTTGCTCTGCAGCCGACACATTCATGTAAAACTGGTTGTTGAGCTGCAGTGACTCACTGACGTCTGCGGCGTCTGCTCTTCACAGCAGTCCACGTTCTTCACAGCAGTAGATGTCATTTCTGTTTCTAATCTCCGAGCGGAGACCCTGCAGCCACAGATGGCTCCTGCCAATAACATCACAGGGCAGATTTGACACGTGGCATTTATATACAAAGAGCGGAGCGAGCCGCGCGGCGCTGTGGAAGTCGCCGGGCCGCGACCTCTCATTGACGTAAACTGTGTGTGTGAATGAGTGGTGACCACCGCCCCGGAACAAACTTCTGGGCTCTTTTTAGTCACTTTTCATGTCGTTTACACAGACAGGAGTTGTCTAGCTACGGTAGCCTGGATGTGTCAGTCTGAGGGGGCGAATGTGGTAAACTGCGGCTTTTCCTGGGAGTTTCACACTTTTTGACGGTGGGAAATATGTGAGTTGTCGCTCACTCATTTCAGCTCACGGTGATGCACATCAGCACACCACAGGCTGCGGTGAGTTTCCCTTCGTTTTACATCTTCAGCTTGTTGCTCAAACTCTGGTGTGTCTTTCTGTTTAAAGCTGTTTGTTCAACCAAGAGAAAAATAGATGTTTTGGGGGGAATTTTGTGTTCCCTGGAGAAACATTTGCATTCCCCGAAAGAGACTTCTGTGTTCCCCGGAGACACTTTTGGTTTCTTCCGGGAGTCTTCGTTCGTTCTTCTAGAAGCTGCTC